TAAAACCGTTCGTGGTGTGTTATGCTATGAATTAGTGTTTGTGGAGATTAATTTTATTGTTATGATATGTAAATGTCATATAATATTGAAATAATTGAACTTAATTGAAATAAAACATTTCTATTCATTTGTATTTTCCAAACACAGAGAAAATTTATTTAACATTATTTAAAAATTATGCATTTAGTAGCTAAATAATTATATTTGTCTTCTATTTTCTAGACGGATAAAGCCTCAGTGCTTGGTGATGCAACAAAGTACCTGAAACAACTCCAAGAACGAGTGAAGACACTTGAGGAACAAGCAGCCAAGAAAACTATGGAGTCAACCATTTTTGTGAAGAAATCCCAGATATGCATTGACGATGAATCATCTTCGAGCGATGAGAACTTTGACAGCGAATCTAACCAACCATTGCCAGAGATCGAAGCAAGAGTCTCCGACAAAGATGTTCTTATCAGAATCCATTGCGAAAAGAACAAAGCGCACTTGGTAAATATACTAGCTGAAATCGAAAAGCTCCACCTCAGTGTGGTTAATAGCAATGTCTTTGCATTCGGAAACTCTACTCTTCACATTACCATTGTTGCCAAGGTAAATTGGGTAACTATTAGCTTATTTTTATTCATTTCCTTCCTTTTATTTTAATATTAACAAGAGCTAATTCAATTTTAAGAATTGTATTCATAAAATTTTAATACCATATTATGCGAATCGTTTCGAAAAAAAGAAATTCAAGTGTGTGTGTATATATATATATATATAAAGTGAATTCTATAAAAAGATATTTAACCTCATTTACAAAATTTATCTTTATTTATGACTGGTCAAGATTATTCACATATATATATGTATCATGTCTTTTTTCTTGCAGATGGAGGCTGAATTCTCCATGACAGTGAAAGATCTTGCGAAAAGCCTCCGATTGTCTTTGCTGCCACCCATATGATATATACACGTGTGTATATAAATATATATCATCAGAAAGGAGACACAAAAGAGCAATCTATCGTGAAGATTTGTCTGATGAAGAATACCTAGGAATAAAATCTTTATGACTCGTGTTTTCTCAGTCGGGCTTTTTTTTCTTGTTTCAAGGTTGTTTGTTCTTCTCCCGGAAAATTGCTAAGAAGAAGAAGAAACAAAGCCTGAGCCTCTTGTCGCTGCGAGATTAGTTTTTTTTTTTTTTTCCCCCTTCTTTTTTTGGTTTCCTTTGTTTGCGTGGTTGACCTGTTGACCACGTTCTAAATACGCACGTGTTGAAATTAGAAACCACGCAGCCGATTCCTTCTAGGGTTTTTGAGAGGTTCTGACGTTGTTCGGGGAGTTGGAACATATACATTCATATTATGCGTAAACGATGTCGTTTTATGTTTCCTTCAATAATTTTTTTCCCCTTGGTTACATGGAGGAATGCTTTTTTTTTTCCTGGGGCCCACCTTGGTTTGTATAAAAATTCTAATGTATTTTGCTGCTAAGTAATCCAATAATTGATTTTGTTTGGTTGGTTTATTGATTAAATCATAAAATATTATCTGTTTATTAATATTAATACGTGATTAAACTATATTTATAAAATGTTAAAATATATTAAGATGTGACTGCAATATATTGAAAAAAGAAATTGAAATAATCATGTACAATATAATATAATTAAACATTTGCATGTGCAGATAATGTATTTAAAGTGGGAGGTAAACTAAATGTGATGGCTGAATGTGACAGTTTATGGCACATCACTGGCCATACACATGTGGGAATTATAAATACATAAATTTTATATTATAATTATACGGATAATACCGAATAGATTTATTGCACCATAAAATAGCTTGTACAACAAATACAAAGGTTACACAGATATTATCAAAATAAAAATAAATTACAATTAAACAACAAAATCTAATTAAATACATGGAATGTTAATAATAACATAATATTTGAATGAAAAATACATTAAAAAATAATTACTTATCAAAGTTAATTCTGGAAATAAGCGTAGGATCTTCAGATGGGTTGTTAATGGAAGTATATACGAAGCAGCCAGACCCATAAGTCATACACAACCGTCCAAAATATTTCATAAATGTAGAAGGTGGTATTAATTGTATTTACTTTCATTTCCGAGTAATAGAAATT